TTCTCCTTCTCTCTATTCCTCACTCTCTCTCACACTCTATTTCTTTCTCATTCTCAATGGAACTTTTGAATGTTATATTTCTCTATTAATATTTTCAGTTTTATCGCAGAACTTCCCCAATTCATAATCGAAAAATTTAAATGGCACGTGTGAAAATTATTTAAATATTTTTTTACCATTAAGTGTTTATGTTTTTTATGTTTTCCATCTACACATTACATATTGACGCAAGAGAATTCATTCTCACGTGCTACTTTGCTGTTCAGCAATAGCTCGGCTTCTCCWACTCCCCTTCAACTCCCCTTCAACTCTCCCACAGCCCACTTGAATTTGGACTCCCCTCGTGGCCTACGAATTGCATGTGACTAATCAAAATTCTGACTTTCGACACCTCAGACCTCAGACTTCAGACATAGCAAACAATACCATATAGACCAGAAAGAGACATCATGCAAAATATGTATATACATACATATATACAACGATATCTGATACCACCTTATATACATAAATATGCGCATACATGTATGCATATTGATTTGTATATGCATAATTAGTGCTATGTAAATATATTATAAAACAATTGAGTTGTGTTTTTGTTTAATGAGTGGAAAGTACGCCAAGGAATGCCAAAAGCCAATGTAAATACTGCGCAGTCGAATTGGAGTTTAAAGAAACATATTGAAAATATTGAATTCCTAAACATATTTGAATATGAAATAATTAAGTAATTGAGTAATTGAATTTAGAAATTTACTCAAACTTTGAATGCTAAGGAATTGTATAGAGAGGACCTTAATGAGCTTAGATGAGAAACTTTTCATAAAACAAAGAGCCTTTGGTTTCTTTGTTAATTGTTATCAAACAAACTTGAAAACTAATTGTTAAATAATGGATTAAACAATTTTTTTTATTTATTTAAAAAGTAAGTAAAAGTAAGTAAATCAYATTATGGCTGTACTCTTCTTTATTCTCTTCTTATTCTATAAAGTTTCATAAAAAGAATTTCCAAAAATGTGCTGCCAACTATTCTAAAACAATCCTAGTTTAAATATTCT